GGCCGGGCTCTGCAGGTGCGGAGCGGCCCTTGGAGAGGCGAACGGGCATTCCGGCCAGCACCGCGCCAACGGTGCCGGGAACGTGCTGACAGGAGTGGGAAGAGTATTAAAATAATAAACATTGCTGTTGTTAGAAACGCTTTTTGTGGAAAAAAAAAAGTGTTTCCCAGAGGTGTGCAAAGCCTGCATTCATTTGTCCCCTTTTTGAACAGCGTGCCCCAGCTTGAATTTCTCTGACAAGTACACAGTGCCCTGACCTGTATGCCGCCTTCTGGGCTCTGGGATCAGCGCTATCTCGCAGAATTAGAAATAAGATGGAGAATAACAAGATGGAGAAAGCACCTCAATACGTTTATTGAAAAGGGTCAGGTAGGATAGAGGAGGTTGGGAGATTTTCCCTTGCAGAACTCGTATCTGGCAAAGCCATGGAACAGGAACATCTCCAGTGGGAGAGGGGCATTCCCTCCGAGGAGCATGCTCCTGTCCTGTGGGAGACCCTGGTGAGCCCTCCTGCCTTACTCCTTTTCAATGCAAGGTCTCAGATAAAACCTCAGACTCTGGTCAGGTGGTCAGTTACTGTATCCCAGCTGTGGAACTGTAACTGTAAATCAAGCGGCAGCAGGTTTCTGAGCAACTCCTGCTCAGGTCAACACTCGCTTGACTAACCATTCGAAATAACTTACACAGAAATAGCCGCAGTGCAGGACAGACACGTATTTATGTAGTTAGGGTCATGAAAATCTGTTGGTAGGGCAGTATGTGGGAATAGTATAGGAAGAGTGGGGTGCTTGCTTCTCAGAAAGCAAGAGGAAGTTATGAATGTATTTGTGTTCTTGACAAGTGTCTGATTGGGATGGTACCGAGGAAAACATCACCAGCAGGTGATGGCACTGCCCTCTGCCTCATGCCTCCTAGCCTTGCCTGCATGCCTCTGTCTTTTCCAAGCACTTCTGGGGTAGATTCTTGGCATGTTCCTTGTATTCCTTCCTCCCTGCAGTGATGAAGTGCCTGTAGACCTGAGAGTGTGGTAAAGTGATCAGAATGGGGGTTTTATTTCTAAATCTTCAAAACAACAATCCGGTGTTCTGACTGAATATCAGAAAGGTGCTGTTTTAAGCTCCACATGACACAGCTGACTTTTTCAGAATAGGGCTATTTTCATTTACCCTTAAAACTGTATCCTATAAAGAACAGTTAGGTTTTCTGTGGTGGCATTTTACCTGTAGGATTTGTTTATGAATCCCTTACTACCCTTTCTCATGACCTAAGATGTATTTTGGGGTTTGTCATAACATACATTTTTCTCTATGTAAGTTTTGTCCAGCAACTTCTGTTATCTTAGACATTAATTTAACAGTGGTTTGGGTGTTGGTGGGTATTTTGGGTTTGGTTTTTGTGTTTTGTTTTTTTTTTCTTACCAGTTCTAGTGCCTTCCATTTACTCCAAGGTTTAATGAATTTCTCTCACGTTCCTGTGGAATATTGTTGGAACACTTGTGAAGAGAGCTAAAAAAAAGCAAAGTGGGCAATATCGAGTAGAGCAAAGCTCACCAGAATTTACTAGCTGTGTCAGGTGAGAACATCACCATTGCTTAATTTAAATGCGAATAATATAACATTCCTTTTTACTTCCCTAGTGATGCTTTGTTGGGGCATACAGATACAGAGGAGTTCATTTTTGAAACAAGTATCGTAAGGCTCAGGTTCATAATATATTCAAATACACAATGCTTCTTCATCTTATCTGTTTTTATTTTTTACCATTATTTTCCACTTTGGGAAGCAATAGGAGGAGAGCTTGAGAGCTGTGCTTGAACACAGATGGTATGATGGCACAGCATTTGCTGCAACTTGCTTCAAGTTATGTTACAGAGTTCATTTTTAACATAAGCTTTAAACCTTTATTTTGCAGAAAAGTCTCATTGAAATGGCAGCCACCCAAATGTAGACTATACGTTTTCAGAAGTACTTGAATATTTTGTGGTAACATGATGAAAAATTAACTGGCACAGGAAAAATAATAATCCTTAAAAGTGTGTAAAGAATCCAGACTGGAGCATACATTAGATGAAGCACAGGTATGTATTGCTTTTTGATATCTCTGGGAAATAGAGGGGAACCCCTTGTGAAGGAGGCTGCAATACTGTAGGCAGTGTTAATAGATTTGTGGAAGGAAAACATCAACCTTTCCATTCAGTCCTTTCCATTATTTCTGGTTTTGGAGTGAATGGAACGTCTCCTGCAACAACCCTAATTGACACTAACCATAGTTTTTGTTTGCTAACAGCCCCATATGTCAATAGATGCTGCACTCGTTCCCCTTTAAGTGGGCTATTTTTGCCAAATACCAGTTCCACTCCTCTGGATTTCATGAACGCTGCCATTTGAAACAGATCCAAGGAATTAGACATTATTCACCTTTGCGTATGCTGTCTCTTGAACAGATACTATCCTGCTGTCTTCTATTCTTATATTTCCTGCACTTTTTCCTCAGTGTGAAATGTTTTATTTTGTCCTGCTTATTGCAATTTTGACCAGGGAACTTTGTCTCTTAAAAAGATAGGCTTTAAGCAGTTTCCCTTTTCTTCAAATGCATTTTTTCTGCTGCTCTCCACACAGCTTTTTGTTCGATGACTTGCACTTTCACTATCTCAGACTGTCAGGAGTACTTGTCGGCAGCTAGGAGCAAAAACTTATTTGTAGAGTTAGACACATTTGCATTCAAAAGTACATACATGTGTGTTTATTTACAGTCATTCTTCCTTTACTTTCTTATATGAGAGGAAGAAATGGAGGGGGAGGGGGAGAAAATGACCCCAGGTATCTTTTAGTCTCCCTCTCACACAGCATTTAGTTCATTCTTCTTCCCTTCAATCCTTTCTCCCATAAGTCCTTAGTTGTTCTTCCCTGTGCTTAACCATGTTTAATTGAAAGTGGATGGGTAGCAAGGCAGGATTATCCACACACTAGCAGGGGATGGCAGGTTTTTTGGGGGGTTATCCTCACACAGGCCAGGGAAGGCAGTCCAGGAAGTCCATAGGAATAGCTCTTAAAAGACGTTGAATGCTGTCAGGACTGGAAGGTGCAGCAGTGGTTAGTCTTGGTGCTAACCAGACTGCCGCTAGAAAATGGAGATGTTCTGATTGACTGGTTTTCTGCTGGTTTGTTTGTTTGTTTGTTTGTTTTCCTGGGAACAGGGAAATGAGAAACGGCAGCCTATCAAAGGGCATTCCTCTGGAGACCAGGAGATGATTCTGCAAATCTGTGGCCTGCATGGCAAAAAAAAGAAGAGTTGGCAGCTCTGTCCTGTGCTCTCCTGCTGTCAGGAGCTACTTTTCCAAAAGCTGTTTGCTCAAAATCCTGACTTGTGACTTTGTTACCTACCTTTCTGTGCTGATTCTTGGGCTATGTGATTATACTCTATACAGATGTATTCTTAACAGCTTTTGTGTGCTGCTGCAGGGCTTTGAGCATCTTGTCCCCCACTTAGCAAGAGTGAGATCACTGGAGTATTACCACCTTTCTGGAATAAAACATTATTAACATTTTTATGAATATGTCCTAGCTATCTTTATTTCTTTTCTTGGTCACAACCTGTGATTTACAAGACAAACTTAGGATTTGCACAATGAAATTAGATCTTTCATTCTTCTCCTTTGTAGTCTGGTTGTGGTTTTGGATCAAGTGACACCCTTCCTCCTCAGGACACTCTTGTAGGTTGACCCAACTGAGTGACCTTAGTGAAGGATGGACGCATTTTAGACTTGACTTTTCTTTTTATTCCTTTTTTTTTTAGCCCCAGTGGTCTAAAGTGACTCAGACTCTGACTCTCTGTCAGGTGCCAGTGATAAAACATATATATTGTGGATAAGGCTGATATTTTCCATCAGTGGGTGGAAAGTATTCAGGGCTGCTGGATCTCACATGGCCTTTCTCTCTGCCTTGTCCTCAGAACCTTCTCTAACCTCCTCACCTGTCTTTCCATGGTCTGTTTTATAAAAAATTACACATTTCACTGAGGAATCAAAGTACCAATGAGTCCTGCATAAGTAATCCCATACCTTGGATTAAAATCCTCAAATGATTTTGTGTATGGACTGGTTTAAGTATATAAAATAGACAGTTAGTGCATGGTTGGAAGTGTCCTCAGGGATGATTCCTCAGATTCAACTGTCAGTAAAATGTAAAGGTCATTTTCACCAAAATAATTTTAAATGTTTGCAAGGATCTTGTCACCGAAGTGGCAATTATCCAGGAAAAATGTCAGGATACCCATCAAATAAATCGCATAGAGTAATGAACTGTAGGTTATCACATTACCAGATTCTGAAAAAAAGTAATGTAAAATGGTAACTTCTTTCACAGAACTTGTCACCAAATGATGGAAATAAATCAGCACTGCTCTTTACTTCCTACTGACCTTTCTGAGAAAGGAAGCTAGATGCTGTTCTTCCTTGTTTAGAAAAAGCTCCTGAAATGTATGAAAGACTTTAAGTTTGCACAGGGGTCACTGACAGATGAATTTAGTCTAAAGAATTAAGTTTCTGACATTTAGTTTATGAGATGGGGGAGAACATCAGGACCTGGCCACACTTGAGGGGCTGCAATAAGTTTCAGAAACCAGTTAGCTGGAAGGAGGGTTTGAGAGTTCTGGGTGGTGAGGCTGTCATGTATGTATAGGTCCATATATGGATCTAATTTGGTTCCTTTCATTGTAGCATTCAAGTGCGTTAGTGACATATTGAATGTAAAAATTCTTGAATTGCTGGGAGTTCATTTTGAAAACAGGCACCTTGGCATTGCTTTGGGTGTATCCACTTTCTCAGGGAAGTTTTTTTCTGTACCTGAGTTGATTTTACAATATTAGATGCAAAATCAGAAGCTGCACAGAAGAACAAAGTTCATCACTCGTGAATAAGGTTGATTAATCAGACTATTTTGAGATGCAGCTAAGGAGTGTTTTAGGGATGCTGCTGCAGTCATCAGAACTGTGAAAAAATCAAATTAAATATGCCCAACATCAGCAGCAAAAAGGAAATTTAACATGAGTGTTTGAAAACAGTTGGGTAGACAGAGGCCTGGAAGGGGAATATATATGGTTTATATATTATGATTTTATTATATTCTCATTCCTAACTGATTGCCTAATGCTGAGGTATTTGTGTGACTTACAAATATATACTAAAAGAGCATATCGCATATGTTTTCTTCTCCATTTATCCCTACAGGAAGCAAGATGGATGGTGCCAGAACAGGGGTGCTTTGCCCTGGGATGGGTGAAGGCAGTTGGGCACCTGCTCCACGGGGAGCACTGACTGAATGTGGGTCCTCCAGGGCTGAAAGTATGACTTTGAGCAAATTTAATATGGTGATGATAAATTAACTCTTCATCTCTCTTATCCTGAGCCTCCACACAGGACTGAATTACACCCTGAATTACTGAATCCAGAGTAATTCTGTTGGTTTATAGATGAAAACAGTTCTTTTCTTTTTGCAAACAATAGCCGTTGGGATTTGGGAACTTGGAACTCTTTTTAGCTTGTATTAATTTCCGTTATGTGTAACTGCTCTCGAGTGAGCAAAATAATACTTAAAAAGTGTTACCAGAAGAGACAGGATGTCTTGAAGCAAACTTGAGACTAACATCATTCTATTATACCTACTTTGATTTATTTTTGGACTTATTTTTTATTTATTTGCATTTACTAGCTAATGTTATTTTAATGCTGATTGTCAGGAAAAAGGCTCCATAATGTCTTGTTTCAAATCAGTTTTGTACTTAGTTTCAGAGCTTTTCGTCTTGTATGCATTTGTCCCGAGTTTGTTGCTTATTTTTTAAATGATAAATTATTTATTTTCTTTACATTATTTAGAAATATACCATAGCTGTTAGAGTTGAAGACATGAGAAAAAATGCTAAGGTGAAAGTTTCCAGTCTCATAGGATATGCCCTGAGGATTTCTGGAGGACCTCAAAACCAAAATAGCATAGCTGCTATAGGATACATGCAATCTCTCACTACAAACGTTTGTCATTAGAAGGATCAATGAGTAATATATTGAATGCATTTTTATAAGGTAATCCAAGGAATTATTAGTACAGTGAATTGTGTAGATGATAATTTGGAGTTAAAAATGGAATTACACAGCACCTCAAAGGTCATTTTATGAAGTGTCCTAAGAAACAACAATTTCTAGAGTAGAAAAATCTCATTAATCTCTTACTGGTATCTGAATGGTTCAATAGAGGTATGGATGAAGGAGAACTTACTAATATATTTTATTTAGATTTTCACAAGTCCTTGGTAAAATGATCACAACAGGCTACTAAAGAAATTCAAGATGTAGATTTACAAGGGCAACTTAGGCCCCCAAATACATATTCAAGTAACTTTATTCAAGATACAGGCATTAATAGCATTTCTAATCTTGAAGGTTTGCTTAATACAGTAGGAACTTATGTTTTCCACGGGTAGAATCGCTCAGTTCCCTTGTTTTTGCTGCTGAGCATGTGCAAAACCATCTTGACAGCTCCAGGCTGCTAAGCTCCAAAGAAATACATAAGCAATTTCTTGCAAGTTTCCTCACAACTGCCTGTCAAGTTCAGTTTTGCATCCCAGCAACCAATTTCAACTAATTTTATTTTATACTGACTACATTTATCACAATTTACTTTATATTCTTGATAGGATATTGAAAGAGGCTCTCAGGGCCACAGATTGCTGCTGAAATGTTAGACAACATTTGGCATGAACAGGATCAGAAATTAAAAACTGGCATTTTTTAGCCTGGTTGTCTTTGAAATGAGGTTTATGAGATTGTGTTGTTTATCTCTCTGTACATTCAGCAATTCCCCTTAAAAACTTTGGAACCCAGTTTCAACCAAATTTGAAAGATGAGCTGAAATCTCAAGATAAATAAGGTCTGTGAAAAACTGCAGCTGTACAGAGGACAAAGCACGTAATTAAATGCCTGCGCTGTGGAAAAGGCAGGTGGAAGCCAGACTTTATATAGCGGTTGAGAGCTGCCAGCCTGCCTGAGTACGCTCAAAGATTTTTGATTGAGCCTAGCATGTGCCCTATATGGAGAGTGGATTTTGGAAGAGAACCTGAGGTTGTTACGGGAGAGAAGACTTTAGGAGACAAAAAACACAACTCCATGAGAACAATCAATCAGACCCCGCCTTGTTTGTTTTATTTTTTGCAGGGCAGCTTGATTCTCTTGCCCTGCCTCTTCTTCCTCCTTCCCACCCTGAACACCTTTTTTCCTCCCAAGAATCTCTGGAGCCTGTTACTATCTTTGTATTCCCCTTGCTCTTCTGGCTCAGCAACAGTTCCTGTAACTTCACCAGCCTAAAGAATTCTGTCTGATTTAGTAATGAGGTCTCAGATATACCCTGGTGGGAGCCAGTTAATGGCTGTTTCTTCATCCAAAGAGTTCAACCAGGCTGTTAGGATGTGCTCATGTCAATAGCTTTAACAAAACTAATTGGTGCTGACCCTTTTCCATCCTGACTGGAGTATCTCCTGCTTTGATATTTATACTCATCAAACATTTGTGTATTCTTATTGTGCCCCCCTGCCAGCTCCCTGCTGTTATGTGGTGAGACTCATGAATCTAGTTTAAAAGAAGCTAACTAGAATTAAGCAAATTATAATTTTTTTAATCTATACATACATTTCAAATATTATATCCAACCCAATGGATAATTTTAGAATATTCCTCTAAGGTGTGCTTACAACTGTCCCACAGGGTCTGTATTACTCTAAAAAATTGTGTGAGAGTTGTTTATTTTACAAATTGGCTTAGCCTGAGAAACAGAGAGAAATGTCTTGTTTCCTTTTTGTCTTTTCTGTCAGGTTCTTCCTGAAGATGGATACCTTATCTAGCATGGAAAGTTTTTGTAGTTCTTCTCTAGTCAATTATCTAAACAGAATACAATAGAACGGATGTCAAAACAAAGAATAGACATATGCATAGTACCGGGCTGTGATAAAAGCTGCTCTTCTGCACAACTTCCCAGCTTGTGAAACCTGTCTGATTATGCATAATAGATAAGCCCCAGGAAGTATAAAATTAGTGGGAGTGCTTGCAGTGTGGCCAAGTTACAGTTTTACAGTTGTTTAAAGGTCAACAGCAAATAGACACCTACTCCCAGTCGTGTGGGATAAGACTTTGTAGGGACAAAGCTCTCAGGCAATGTCCATGTGATTTGCCTGTGGCCATACAGAAAGCCTTAGCTGAAGAAGGGGTTGAGATCCCACCCCATCACTTGCAAGCCAGGGCCAGAGTTACCAAGCCAATCTTTCTCACCGTTTATCTAGGGCAGACTTTGAAACCTAAGCCTCAAGGAAAGATTTCTGAAGCAAAACCTCCAGGCCTAAGTTCTCACAGGACAGGTACTTTTTTTTTCCCCCCCCAACTTCTGGATTCTCTTTTTCTTATTACAGAACTTGA